GCTGAGGTGAGTGGATTGCCTGAGCCCGCGAGTTCGAGACCTGCCTGGGCAACTTGGTGAGACCTCATCTCTACAACGGATCAAAATGAGCTGGGCATGGTAGCACAGGCCTGTAGTTCCAGCTACTTGGAGGGCTGAGGCGGAAGGATGGCCTGAGCCCAGCAAGTCGGGGCTGCGGTGGCCAGCAGCGGCCACTGCACTCCAGTCTGGGCGACAGAGTGAGACTCCAACTCAAAAAATAAATAAATAAATAAATAAATAAATAAATTTTTAAAAAGACCACAAATTACCTAGTCTCCCACTATTGTATGCACATTTACAGATTAAAAGATTTTTTTTTTTACAATTAGACTCTAAGATTTTAAAAACAAAAAATGCCAAAATAATAATACATGGGGTTAAAAATAATAAGTAGAAATTGACTTAATTTTTAAATTTCCCAATACATGAACAAACATAAATCAGGTTCATAGTCTTTTGAAAAATACTAAAACTTAACATAAAATCACTTATTCTGATAACTAAGCAAACCTCTTATTTATTCTAACAGTTATCACATTGCTTTTATCACTGCTAATAATCAACGAAATTAAAAAATCAACAATACCTGTTGACAGTGAATCACAACCATGATCAAAAAGTTCTCCCAAAGGAGTACTACTGTTAGTTCTTCTTGCCTGTTTCCCATCTATAGCATCCAAAGACTGGTAAATGAAAAGGCCACAGGCACAAGCAATATATGCCCACAGAGGTGCCTGTGAAAGAAAATAAGAAAGGCAACAGTATTCAGACATATTGTATTAGTTACCATGTTAGGCTAATATGTTTTTATCTGCAGATATCTTCATTCTCTACAGAAGTACTGCTGGTTGGAAGCTATATAAGAGAGAATCCAATGGCTACAAAATGAGTAACTTGTTGAGACAATTAGGATTGTAAGAGAATTAAACTTCCTTCTTTTGGAGGTGCTCAAGCACATGCTGGATAATTTAGCAGGGATATCATGGAAATGCCATGAGAGATTAGACTAGAAATCTTAAGATTCTTCCCAATATTTAGATTCTAAGAGCCGTATAATCTAGTACAGTTTTCCCAAAACTGTATCTTTCAAGATGTTTACAGGTGTTATATGAAAAGAAAAATTCCTTGCTAACCTCATGTGGGAAACACTGGGTTAAAGACTAAACAATATTAAACATATTTCTCTCCCACAGAACTTCTAGCCCTTAATATTGCTAATGCATTCTGTGAATAGTCAAGTGGGGGACATAATACACTGCCATTTTTATTTGAGCACATAGCTTTAATTTTTAAACATATCTCTTCAATGGCTCACAAAACACTAGGAAATGATATCTAGTGCAGAAAGTGCTCTGAACATTATTTTTCAAATATACAGTCACATTTTCAGGGAAAAGTTTCTCTTTTTCCACACAGAAATTAAACTGCTGAATTGGATTTAAATGTTGTATATTTAAAAAGGAGAGCGTCTATTTGATTTATTTTTAAGAATGTAAAAAAAAAAAAAAACTGCTTTGCTTTTCATTATTTTTCTATGCTCAGGCCATAAAAATATTTTTATAATCACAAGGCATTTTCTCAGATATTGACTATGGAGTTATACTGTATCAGAGCTAAAGGGCCACCGCCAGGCACTAGCAAACCACATCCCCTCCCTTTTCCTGGAAAGGGGCCCAAACCCAGTCCCTGCCTAAAATGGCAACCCGGCAAACAAAGGGGGCGTCTGAAACGGCACCTTCTGGGTTCTTCTTCCACAGTCCGGCTCACCTTTTCCCGCGCCTGCGAAAAATCCACCAACCTGGATGGAGCTCTGCCAGCCGACCAATAATAGACTGACAGGTCGCCCTAAACCCTCATAAAGGCTGGCATGCCCTTGCTTCAGCGCTACAGCCTGACCCTCAGGTCCTGTAGTCACTGCGTTCGACCTATTAAATCTCTTGGTCTTAACGGGTATTGAGTCTCACTGTGTGCCACCTTCTTTCATTGGTGCCGTGACTCAGATTGTGTTCCTCTCACTTTCAGGAGAGACCCCGTTCCGGCGCCAGCAGGACTCACCCCTTAAGGCCTTCGCCCACTTTCTTGAACGCCAGCGCTGCATCCATCACCGGCCCTCGGATTGGTAAATGCCCCTAACTGGAAAACCTAAAATCTTGCCCGGGGATAACTGGAGGGAACTGACCGTTGATCGTCTGGCAGCCCTTTCAGCCCCAGGCGAGGGGGGGACCACATCCCGCCTAGGTCTTTAAGGCCACAGCGGACCCCTACTGATGTTCCCCTCTCCCACCTAGGTCTTCAAGGCCACAGCAAACCCCAACTCGTTTTCCCTTCCCTTGGCCGTCAGGTATTTTGAGTCTGCCCCCTCCTGCAATCCGGTTTTGGGCATCCTCTTCGCTAAAAATCCTGGTACCAGGTTGCCCTCAACCTCCTCGATTCTCCAGGAGAATCGCGGGTTGTAATAACGTTCTGTGATGACAGGCTTTATTGCAACCTCCTCATATCCTGACAGCCGACTGTCCAGGGGACACTCTGCTCAGCCCCAGCTGTTAAAATGGGAAACTCGTCATCCCTGCCGGCTGACTCTTCCCTTAAATGCCTCTTAGACAACCTCTCCAACTCTCTCCCTCACTCCTAACATTAAACCCAAGTGTTTAATCCACTTCAGTACCCAAGACTGGCCTACCTATCGCTTGGACAACCAAAATAAGTGGCCCCCTTATGGGTCTCTAAACCCTGACATTATACGGGACCTCTATAACTTCTGCGAGCATTCAAAAAAGTGGGCAGAGATTCCTTATGTCCCGTCTTTCTCTTCACTCCGGGAACACCCTCGTCTCTGCCTCCAATATAAACCAGTTCACCTCTTCATGGCTACAAAGGGCCCCTCTCTCCCTCCAACACCGCCACCTCCCTCTTCCGTCTCTGACTTTGACCCAGAAGATGAACCTCCTCCCTATTGAAAACCCCATCCGACCCCACAGCCTCCTCCCCATCCGCCCCCGCCATCCCTAATCTTTACCCACCCCTTCCTCCAGTTCCTGTCACCCCGTGCAGTCCTCCTGTTACCCACTCTAAAACAGCCCCAGCCACTCTCGCTCCTCTTTGCGAAGTGGCAGGTACTGAAGGCATTGTTCGAGTTCATGTCCCATTCTCTATCTCGGACCTAACCCAGGTAGAAAACCGCCTCGGGTCCTTTACAACTAACCCAACCACCTATATCAAGGAATTCCAATACCTCCTCCAGGCCTATAGCCTCACCTTTCACGACATCTACGTGGTTCTCTCCAATACCCTACTCCCCGAAGAGCGCAGAAGAGTGTGGGAACAGGCTAGAACATATGCGGATGAGGTCCATCAGATCTCCCCAGGACACCCCCTCGGGGCAGTGGCAGTCCCAGACCAGAACCCTGGCTGGGACTATAACTCCCCCAATGGCCTTGGTACCTGTCTCGTTTCCGGGTTGAGGCGGGCAGCGCAAAAGATTGTTAATTCTGAAAAACTCCAGGAAGTGGTCCAAGACAAAAATGAAAACCGTTCCTCCTTCCTTGATTGCCTTACCAAAGCCCTCCAACAATTTACTAATTTAGATCCAGAAACCCCAGACGGTCGTCAACTCCTTATGACTTATTTCTTCTCCCAAAGCTACCCTGACATTAAAGCTAAATTTAAAAAGCTAGATCAAGGGCCCCTTACACCCCAAAATGAGGTTTTGACTGCCGTCTTCAAGGTATACCACAACCAGGATGAAAAGGCTAAGTGGTAAAAATACCAAATGCTGGCTCAGGTTCTTCACGCGACAGACACCGGCCCTCGCAGTGGTAGAGGAGGCATCCAAAACAAACGCGACCCTCCAGGGCCCTGTTTCAAATGCAGCAAGGAGGGACATTGGGCGCGAGCCTGCCCT